ATAATAAGTAGGTACAGTGGCAGCCACTGTCGTATACTTGGAAGAAAGGGAGGGGTAGGTAGCGATAAATTCGAAGGAGAACAAATAGTTAGATTTATAGTTTGATAGAGGTCTATATCACTCGAAAAAGATATTTATAGACGATACGGACAGATAGGCAGCAGCAGTCAATCGGTATTCACTGCACAGTGGATATTCTTAAAACTTTCCCAATGGTATTATGTATATATGCAATGTCAACTGTAATGGAATGTATCTGTAATGGCAGTCTGTCGCTACGTCCAAATATTCTAGTATTTTATGAATTCCTAGCATGTACTGTGCCCGTAGCATTAAAAGCAGGTGATACACAATATCAGTATCTATATACTCCCCAATTCTAGGCTCAGGGCACAGCTACTCCGTTGTTCATACTGAACAACTTTACTATACATGTACATAACATATTACACTTACAGATAAATATAATACTTACAGAAACATGCACACATGCGGTCAGTACACTGGGAATATACACAAGCAAAAATATTTCGTGGTGCATGTCAGATCTTCAGAGCTTTCTCGTGAGTATTATATGCACATACGGAACTGTAATATTTCATCGAAATTACATATGCAATAAAATAGCTAGAGTACCAATTAGTATACACATATACCGAAAAAGTATTCAAACATGGATTGAAATACCGAATCTGCGTCCAGAAACAGCCAACTCACGGCGCACGCATGCGTATTCAATACCTCTGAGTATTACGCAATATGAAACAGCAATATATAATGTTATATACTATGTAGTACGAAATAAAGTAACATAAATATTGATTTCTAAAATTCATTTGACAGTGCTGAATATCAAATAAAACGTCTTCAAAACAAACAGCACTATATATAGATACTGAACATGGAATGTGTCCTTTTGCGCAGAATAAACGGACATTTTTCGTAAGATGAAATACGGACGAACAACACAAAACCTTTACATTCATAAACAGACGTTTTGAACCACCCTTTCCATTTTACAGCTCATGACACATAACTGAAACCTGTACTAGTGAAAATAGGTGCGGTAGTACAGTGGCAAAAATTTCAGCTCCGAACTCCAGGGGTGTCACGTTGGAAGTCGAAGAAGAGACGATCCTCGTCTTAACCACGATCTACCACAAGCTGCAAGGAATTTACCTCAAGTCATTCACCTGAGAGGCAACATGGTATTCTGGCGTAGTCATATAAGA